CCCCCTCCGGAGCGGGGCGGAGTGGAGCACGATTAACCCTCGGCGCGGCGGTCTGCGTGGATCCGTTCTACCCCCTCTGGCCCTCGTCCCCAGGTTCCCGAGGCGCCCAGCCGCTCCCCACGAAGGCACCAGAAGGCGACTTTGATCTATTTATTGCCCCTCAGCAGGCAGCGGATCGGTCGGGCCGGGCTGGGGCGGGCCGGCGGGCAGGGTCCTAGTGCGGGGTGCCGGGAATGTCAAAGTAGGGAGCAAGCCCTCCCCGTTACACGTCCAGGGAGGAGGCTGGGGACAGGGAGGGTGTCCGCGACGGCGTGGCGGTCCCTGCACCCAGCACGCGCCACTGGAAGATACTGGCATCCTTGCCGCCCAGCGAGACGAGGTACGCGTCGTCGTGCGTGAACCGGACGCTGGTCACGTGGCTTCCGTGGCCCGAGAACACGCGGCTGGGGGCCTGAGTGGGGGAGAGCGTGAAGCCCAGCGCCGCGCCGGACAAGCCCAGACCCCCACCCGCCCCGATCCCAGAGGCTGACCTTGGCGCGTGCGCACGGGTACTGGAAGAGGTGCACTTTGCAAAAGTCATCCGCCACGGCCACCACGCGCTCGTTGTGGGAACGGCACAGTGAGTTGATGTCTGTCCCGTCCGAGCCATCGGGCCACACGCCTGGGACCACGGGTGGTCAGTCGGGCGGCCGCCTCCACCTCAGCCCAGCCCTTCCCTGAACCTGTCCACGTCCCGCAGCCCCGCTCACCATACACGTGGAAACCCAACACGCAGGTGTATGTTGCCCACTCCCGATCACGGCTCTCATAGCGATTCCTCAGCAGCTTGCAACCCCCCGCCACGTGCCCTGGGGGATGGAGAGCCCCTGCTCAGCTTCCCCTGCGCCCCTTGGCAGTCACATCCACCCCCTGTGTCTCCAGGCCTCACTCCCTGGGGCTCTTGGCTTGTCTGTCCTCTCCTTCGAGCCGCCCTTCCACCCACCCTGATAAACTCCAGGCTTTCCTCATCAAGGTCTTCTGGGACCTGCTTGCTTCTCCCAAGCATAGCTTCTGCCTGTGTGCACCAGGCCAGCTCCACCTAACCCGTCGTCGGTCACCACCTGTGCATCTATCCGATGGCCTCTCTGTTGGAGGTCCCCAAGTATCTTCCATCCCTGCGCCAGAAGCCCCCCAAGCAAAGCCCCCAGCCGCTCACAGTAAAGAATCTCATAGTCCCCGGAGTTGGACATGATGAAGTTGCCATCCTTGGACCAGTCGAGATGAGTGATGAAGCTGGAGTGACCCTGGGGACAAGGGGCAAAGGTTTAAAAATGGAGGTGATGAAGGAAAGAGGAAGTAAAGGGGAACGTCATTCACTACAGATGTGAATTAATAAACATTCAGATTGTTTTAAATATGTCTAAATAAAAAGTTTAAAAATGCAGCCACCAGCTGGACATGGTGGTGCACACCTATAATTCTAGCACTCAGGAGGCTGAGGCAGGAGGATTGCTGCAAGTTTGAGGCCAGCTTTAACTACATAGTTGGAAGGTCAGCTGAACTGCATTTTGAGACCCTGTCTCCAAAAAAAAAAGCTAGCCACCATTTCCCATCCCACCCCCAGAACAACAGGCCCTGTGAGTGCCCACTGTCACCAGATCCACACAGCTTTCTCACCACACAGCGGCCAAAGCGGCTAGACTTGGCGCCGTCACTGGAAACACTGTAGATGTAGATTGTGTTGTCATGGGAGCCAATGGCCAGGTACAGGCCATCTGCGGAGACAATCGCTCAGAGAGGGAAGGGCCAGGGGGGATCAAGTCCTGGGTAGGGGTGGTTCCCACCTGGGCTGTACCGGACAACTGAGAGCTGCTCGTTGCCATCGGTGATGTCAGACACGATCTCCCTGGTCTCTGTGTCCAGAACCAACCACCTGGCAGGAAAAGGAGGTGGCAGACAAGAAACAAAATGTGCAGCCACTTCCATGGAGCCCCTGGGCAGGGTGGGGAATGGCAAACCAGAGAGCCTCAGGCTGTGATGCCAGAACTCTGAGAGGCTGAGGTAGAAGGTGGTGAGTTTGAGTCCAGCCTGGGCAACGTATCAAATTAGCAAGACCCTGTGTCAAAATTTAAGAGGGGCTGAGGATTTGGCTCAGTGGTTCTGCTGCCTGCTTTGCAAGCAAAGGGCCCGAGTTCTATCCCTGGTACCACAGGGGGAAAAAAAAAAAGGTGCTGGGGCTGAGTAAGGTGGTGCACAGCACACCTGTAATCTCAGCACTTGGGAAGCTGAGGCAGTAAGGTGACTACAAGTTTGAGGTTAGGGCTGTAGTAAGTTTAAGACCAACTTGAACTACATCGAGATACTGGGGATGTACCTCAGTGCAAAGCCCTGTGGTTCAATCCCAGTACTGCAGAAAAAGGGAAAAACCCTGGACTGTCAGGTAGGAGACAGGTAACCACATTTTTAGGCTGGGAAATGAGCAGATCAAAGTGAGGGGTTTCTGGAGCCATCTGGGAAAGGAGGAAACAGACAGAGCCTGTGCGAAGCGCTCAATACCACTGCTGAGCTCTCTAGCCCAGCCGCAGCCTCCTGGAGGAGAGGCTGGGAAGGAGTGAGCAGCAGCACACAGAGCAGAGAGGGGCCCCCACCCGTCCTGCATCCCTCCTGGGAGCCCAAAGCCCTCACCTGCCAGTGTTCAGCCCCACAGCCACGACCGCCCCGCTCGGGTGGAAGTCAGCACAGAGACCAGTCTCCTGCCAGGGGAGGAGGGTTAGGAGGTCAAGGTGCCTTCCAGTGAGGGAGTGAGGGCAGATAGCTGGTCCCAAGCCCTTCAGAGCCTCCTCTGAGCGGAGGACATGAGACGTGGGTCCCTAGAGCCTAAACAACTCCTGCTAGGGGGAAGTGTCCCCCAGCAACAGGTGCACAAAGAGTTGCTGAGCACGGAGCAGCAGAGAGCAGGGCAGCTTGGCTGGAGGGGACCCTGGCTCTACCTTGAGGTCCAGGCTCCAGGCCAGCACGTGGCCCTCCCCATCCCACAGGCAGAGCTGCCGGTCGTGTCCACAGGTGAGGAAGCAGTTCTGGGCAGGATGTGTGCAGAGTCCCCAGAGCTCATCTGTGTGGCCCTGCAGCAGAGCAGAGCGCTGTCACCATTGCCCTTCCCAGTACCCACCCTCCTGCTCCGGCCAGCGCAAACCTGGATGACAGGGGAGAAGCCCTGAGCCAGGTCTCCTCTCAGCAGTGCATTCTTTGTGGTCCCCACCAGCAGCTCGGAGCCCGGCCCCTCTGCAATGGCCCGCACAGCTCCAAAGTGTTCCGGAATCTGCAGGCAAGAACAGGTGTCCAGGGCCCACCGAGGACCACTCCCCGCTCCTAGACCCCAGCCTGCCCTCACCTCCGTCTCCTGGAGGGCCACCAGCCCTGGTCCCCACTGCACCAGCCGGCGATCTCGGCCGCCACCACTCAGCACAGTCCCATCCCGCCGGAGACACAGGGCGAAGATGGAACCTTCGTGAGCGTGAGCTTGGGCCACAATCCCATAAGTCTCTGTGGACAAAGCTCCAGGAGTCATGATCTTGGTGTACATGGGGATGGGCATCACAACAGAATAGTAAAAGCTTAGTTATGAAGCATCAGCTGGATACCAGCCTTCATCCTCACACCCCTCACACAGCTGTGATTCTTCCCATTTTACAGATGGGACAGCTGAGTCTCAGAAGCTAGGGTGTTTTCCTAAAGGCCAGGTGACCAGCAGCAAGCTGAGCTCCGACCCAGCACTCCTCCCACTGCCTCACCTAGCCCAGGTCCCCAGAACCACTAACTCCAAGGTGGACGGATAGGGACCCTCCCCTTGTCCCCACAGATCCTCCAGCTGCAGCTGTCCTAGCTGCCAGGGACCACAGACATACCTTTGGCCCCACCCCTGCCTGGCATCTTAGAATCAGAGAGGCTCCGGCCCCAGGTGAGAATGTTCCCCTCCGAGTCCCCCGTGAGGATGTCACCATCCGGGAGGAAGACAAAGCAAGGAATGAACTTGGGTTTCTTGTATTTCTGGGGGCAGAGGCAGAGATCAGAGTTAAGGGAAACACCCGGGAGTCACAGAACAGCTGGGGGCTGGGTGCTTCAAGGCTCTAGGTCTGGGCCGCCCATGCCTCACCCCAAAGACACCCTGCTTCCGGGCCAGGGTGCTGCTCCCAGGAGCCCCTGTCCCACCGCTCCAGTTCCAGAAGTGGACGTGGGATTTCCCGCTGGTGACAATGCAGCTGCTATCACGAGGGCTGAAGCCAACAGCCAGGACTGAGTCATTTGTGCTCTGAAGCAGGAAGACATAGGAGTCAGCCACCCCCAGCCCTGAGTACCCACATTCCCTCAACTCTTCAAGTGCATCCTAAAAGCTTTATTGAATCCCCAGCCTGGCCAAAAGAACTGTGGCCCCCACTTCACAGATGACAGGAGCAAGAAGCGGGGGTCTGCCGAGCCCCAGCCAGGAAGGATGTGAGTGCCATCTGGTGTCCCCACCTTGATCTCCGCCAGCTTGGTTCCCCGGCTGCAGTCCCACACGGACAGCATGTGCTCGTTGGAGTCATCCACCACGCAGAGAAAGGCTCCCTGGTCCTGGGGGCGCAGGGAGGGCCTAGTAAGGACTCTGGCACAGGAGACCAAGGGCATCAGACAAGGGACAGATGAGCTGATGTGGATCCTTTCCCAGAGAAGTGGAAGGCTGGTGAGGCTTCCTGGGGGCACAGAGGGGGTCTGGGGCCCTGGGCCAGCTCACCGCTGTGGAAAAGGCCAGGGCCCCCACACCACGCTCAAAGGTACCCAGCCCGATCTCCTGCAGCTTTAGCAGTGTCTCTGAGTCCCAGACGTGGACCACCGGCTGCAGGGGCTGCACAGGAAGAGAAGGGTCAGGGCAAAAGAGGATGAGGGGCTGGGCCCAGCCATCTGCCAGGCATCCAAGTTTGGCCTTACTTTGCCATCCTTGTCCACACCAGCCGTCTGTCCCGAGGCCACACGGATACCATCAGGGTGGACAGCGAGGCTAGATAGGAGAGGACACTGTAGGGAGGGTGGTCTCCCCGCAAAGCCACCAGAGTCACCTTCCCTCTGCCCCTACTGCCCACCAGCCCCTCTTCCTGCAGGCCTGTCCCAGGCTGGGCCCTCACCATCGGACGCAGTCTGTGTGCCCCCGGTAGTGTCTCTGGCCACCCCCTCCAGGCCCCCCAGGGCCTCCCCTGGGCTGGTACAGCACCACCACACAGGCAATGAAGTAGACCACCTCTCCGGAGCGTAGTACAAACAGGTTGGAGCGCGAGTCCCGGCCCCGGTACCCATAACTGAACAGGGACCAAGTCAAGGAAAGGGGCCAGTGTGGCAGGCAGGAGAGTGAGATAGCACAGTGTATAGTGGGGGCAGAGCAGGACTCAGGGCTCCTGTCCCCTCAGGCCCAAGAGGAAGCTGGGGAAGGGCTTCCCCAGGATGTGGACAGGATACACCCAGTCAAGGCCGAGGGTCTCAGGGGGCAGGCCGCTGGGCAGCTCCTCGAGGCTGCGGAAGCCAGATGGGATGTACATGGTGATGGGGCGGCCACGGAGGAACATCTTCACCGAGATGCCTTCTGCAAGAGAAGCTGGTGTCTCCACCCACGGCTCCACTGAGGTGTCCTGGGGCCAAACCCAGCCCTGACCCCATCGTCAAGGTCTCCCTCCATCCTGCGCACATACCCAAATTGTAGTTGCTCCTCCGAGACCCTGGACCCCCAGGGCTGGAAGGGGGATCTTTGCCCCCACGGCTGTTGGGGGAGAGAAGTGTAAGGACCAGGGACCGAGGGAGGGGATGAGAAAGGAAGCTGCTCCAGAGACCAGTAACACTCCAGGGTGGCATCTGCCAAGTTAGGTCAATGCCACTGAAGAGATGAGAGTACTTCAGCACTCAGGAGAGTTACAAGTTCAAGCGCAGGCTGGCAACTTAGTGACTTAGTGAGACCCTGATTCAAAGATAAGTCAAAAGGGCTGAGGATGTAGCTCAGTGCAAAGGCCCTTGGTTCAGTTCTAAGTACCACCAAAATCTTTAAACATAATTTTTTTAAAGGGCTGGAGATACAGCTCAGAGGTAAAGCACTTGCTTAGCATGTGAGAGCCCTGGGTTCAAGCCCAGCACCACAAGTGAGAGAAATGACAAGACCAGGCCACAGAGCCCTCAAAGACAACACCAGAACCAGGGCCCTTTGCCTCCCCCATGTGACGCTCACAGGGAGTCCAGAATGAGCCCCAACCCTGTCTGTCTGGAGAGCCCTCTCCTCTCAAGACAAAAGCGACAGGTGAATTCAAGGTTGCTGTCATTACGTGATTGGGTAACACCATCTCCTTAGCAGAAGCCCAGGAAAGACAGAGCAGGATGCACAGTGCCTCTGGGTATCCCTTTGTCCTCTCCCGGCAAGAAGAGCACAGGCCTTGGCCGTTTTGAGGACAGGTGGCTTTAAGGACCACAGGAGCTTTAGGAAGGACTTCAAGGACCCTGAGAAGGTCTTGGGGGCTGAGTGCTGGGGATGGGACTGGTGGGCCACAGGTAGGTGCTCCCATAAGGGAGCGGGCACCTCTGCCCACCTCTCCGTGCTCCCACAGCGCAGCAGCAGGTTGGCGGAGGATGCTGCCTTGCGGGAGAGTTTCTGTCGAGGCCGCTCTGAAGGGGAGGATGAGGATGAGTTTCTCCGGGGCCTGGCAGGACAGACAAGCAGGTTGCACCCTGGTCCCCAGGTGCAGCCCAACCACAACCCAGAAGCCCAGGTCACCTACGTGTCCATGTGTGCTGGGGGCTGCCCTGGCCTGAGCATCCCGGGAGGGCCTGGAGACCCAGCCTCCCCGCTGCTGCGGCTGCCACCTTCGGGAGGAACCCCACCAGGGACCTCGCTGCCCACCTGCAGGCCTGGGGGGCCGTTGCTCAGGCCAGCAGGCCTCAGGCCCGGCATGGCGTCCTCCTGCAGCTCCGT